TGCTGGGGTCATGAAGAGTCTAGCTTATATATTTAATTTTTCAGAGTGGTTGTCATAGGAACAAACATCTGTGATTTCATAATATGTGCTGCTGTTACACATGTTGACAGTTTCATTTACAAGCACTAATGTTTTCTTTGTATGTACAAGCAAAGAAAGCCTCGAACACAGGAACTAAAAACATTATTCTTTATTCTTAAATAAGAATTAAGTACAGAACACCAGAGTCACCTCTTCTTCATGTCTCTGTGATGTTCTCTAGCATAGGCACAGATCTGGGTGCAGGAGAGAGAGACAGTCTTTTAGTGGATGCAGCAAATCTGCAATTACCAGACTTGCCTCTGGCCTGAAACTGATCAAGTCCAGCAAGTTTTACTGTATTACCTCCAGTGGCACTTTTTAGACAGCTCTTATTTGCCAGAATTGAGCTTATGGACTCTGGTTGTAGACAGAAATAATGACCTATGGGCATCAACTGTGGATTCCAAAAATGGATCTTAGAGATTATTATGGACTGATTTAAATGAACATACATGGTAAAAAAGGGTGGTTTCACATTTCCCATTAGGAGAAACTTGATAAATCCTAACTGCTTTTTCAAGTTCATGAGCTAGATTTCAGTAATCTGAAATGTGGATTTTTATTTTGAAACTTTTTGCCCTTGAAACTTTTGCCTTTATTTATTTTTCTTTATTTATTTTTTGCCTTTATTGATTTTTCCAAATTAACTTTTGAAGGAGTCCTTCCTAAACTTAGGAGAGTAAACCAGAGGAATCAATATGTCACAAACTTCTGTTTAAGTCAGGCAAACAGCGGCACTGGGAGGGCAGTGCCTGTTGAGCAGTGGAACATCTTGTGGTAGTCTAGATTTAAATGATACAGCCAGGCACAGCTGTGGGTGAGAACTTTCAGTAAACCATCTGACATCAGTACAGAAAGCAGCCAAGGCCAGGGCACGAGTTCTGTGGTCTGTCAGGTCTTCTGCTGTGAAGAGCTTGTACAGCCCGTTCTGTCCTGATACAAGTTATGTTTCCTTGCAAGTCATGCCTCACTGACATCTTGTTCCACACCTACTGATGTCTGCCTTAAAACCACAACCAATGCTCAAGTCTGCAGCAACGGGTGCAAATATCTTTTGAAAAGTACCTGTGGATGTCTAGGGTTGTCTCAGGAGCGTGGCCTGCAAATGGCAAAACAATACTGTAAAATTCAGTGCAGTGGTAAAAAAAGTAAAGTTTTAATAAGAAAATACAGCAATATTTTCACAGAGACTGTGAGGAAAAAAGCAAGAAAGATAGAATGCAGTAAAAAATAAAGAATAGCAAACTACAGGGAGGAAGTGCATTTTTAGGAAGTTTTTGTTGGTGGTGAAAAACTAACTACAAATCTTAACTGTACACCTATATTCTCATTTCTGTGTTTCACGTGTGCGTGTTACAGCTGGATTTAAAAACGTGCTTTGTGTAGTCTGGAACAGCAGGATCTGAGTGAAATGTAGATGTCAAGTAGAAGTAATTTATAGGGTTTTACTGTCATTCCTGTAATACCTATTTTTTTTAAGAAGGAGTGCCAACATAGGAATGAGTCTACTAGCTCTGTCAAACTTCTGAGTATAGTGGGTGTGATGAAAATACATAATCTTGCTTAAAAAACACCTAAGATTTGTGCACTTGCTCTTTCAGTGTGCAATGCTTATCTGTCAGCAAATCTGACCATGAGGTATAGAGCTCATCTAAATTGTACATTTATGGAGCAAGGAGCCAGGCAGGGGGGCTAATGTCCCTGCAGAGGCATAAGCTGCAGCCTGAAATCAATCATATTAGGCTCAGTTTCAACATGTCAATCTAGAGAAAGCAAGGTTTCACTGTTCCTGTGGCGTGTGTTTGACTTGGACACAGCACAGCTCCTGGAGTGGTGGGAACATTTCCATATCGTGCAGTCCTGTCAGGCAAACAAATTTCCCACAGGCTTACATAAGATGGTCTAGGTATGTGTCATTTCTTATGTTTTCTCCATATAGTGCTGTTTCTGTCAATTAAATGTCAAAATCGTGACGTTCCTGTAAAAGAAGTATAAAAGAGCAGACCAATATAATTATTGACAAAGAGAGCAATTTTAACTTTTTTAGCTGCTGATTAATTATCCCTTCTCCAAAGCAGTCTCAGAATTTTCAAGAACTTTTCTAGCAACAGTCTGAAGCTGCTGACAAATAAATCTATCTATAAGATACTGGGAGAGAAAATGCAAGGAGGTTTCTTCCTAAATCTCCTGAAATACAGGAGAGGTGAAGAGTTTATATTGACACATCAATGTGAATTTCCTTAAGTGAAGATATTTGAAATGCAGAAAGCAAACAGATGAGGAAGAATAAATAAGGTTGCCATGTGATTTTGGCAGGCCCACAGTTACCATGACTATTGGCAACCTGTGTCGAGGTATGGGGAATATTACTGATCCCTTGTGTTAGAGTAGCATTTGTGATCTGGAACAAAAACTCTCTGTTTCCATGTGGAAAAGCTGCAGAGGATCAACTGGAAAAAATGTTTCATTTTTTGTTTTTTGGGTTTGTTTTTTTTTTTTTTTTTTTTTTTTTTTTTTTTTTAGTTTTTTTGGATGGGGGGAGGGTTGTGTGTGTATGGTTTTGTTTTTCTTTTTGTTGTGGGGATGTGTATTTTTCTGGAGAGGAATATATTGTCCCTGGTTTTGTCTGCAGTCTTATGCTCAGAAGGTGGGAAGCCCCTTGAGACTGTATTAATTGCTATTTCAAACAAGAAATTCTCCAGCTCTATATTACCAGATAGTTTGTAGATCTTTGAGAAAAGACTGTCATCAAATATGGGGCCAAGAGGAAAGGAGTGAGAGGAGATCTGCATAGACTTGATTTGTGAAAATTATTTGAAATTACTAATTCTGCATTTGAGGGGAAATTTACAGAATTATAAACTCTTCCCATTATAATTAGCTATGCTGAATTTAGCAGCTTATAGGGTTATAGCAAGATAAGGTACAGATAGTACTTAGGTTTAGAAATGTGATGAGAAAATTCATCCAGCATTCTATGGAATGCCATTGCTTAAAGTTCTCATTCTGGACTTAACTTTTATGATATGGCTGTGTTTTGTTTTGCCAAAATAATTGCTGGCTTTCTGCACTGCTCAGTTGGCTAAGTAACAAGACTTTGACAACGTTCATTAAAGACTGATACAAGAACAGGCATACAACAGCCAATTTAATCTGTACTGTTATCAGTACTCTAGAGATACTTGTAAGTAACTGCAGTCTCCTCCTTCAGTACTATGGAAAAACTGTTAAATTATGATTACTAACCTTAGTTTTAAAGCAGTAATATTATCTGGACTATTCATTTCTATTATTAAATTTCATTATTTTAAAGAGTTCTCAGTAAATATTTTTTTAAAAATCTGCTTCAAATTGAAAAGCCAATCTAGTTTACAGGTATAAATATTTATATTCTTAAAATACATGATTTTGAGCAACATTAGCCAGTTTTGGCTGCTGGCACAAGTGTTGTTCCACTAAAAAATCTTTGTTGCTGTTTACTGAAATAATTTTTTTAATCCTCATGTAGGAAGACTACAGGTTGTAAGTTATGAGAAGAGTAAATGCCATGTTGATTGTAAAACCTGACTTTGCCCCCAGCACCGGTGTTTTGTAGCCTTCTGTTGTTTACAGCCATTTGTGCAACAATAATACACTAAGTTATTTTGAAGGAAATCAATGGATACATTTTTATGTAGGTTGTAAATATATTTTCCCAAAGTTTTTGCAGTCACTGTGTCTACTTTTGGGGTAAAGTCCAGTAGTTTTTGAACAGCACACAGAGGCAATACATACATGGAGGTCCTCAGGATAGACGTGGCATTCATTTGATTGAAGCATAAAAACAGGTTTGATGAGTCTAGAACATTCTTAGCTCTACTGTGGCTGTGTCATTCCTCACAGTTATAAAGGAGACTCCAACAATTAGTATAGCATTTGTGCAGAGCTGTGCAGATAAGAATACACTTCTGCTCTCAGCTTAATCATCCATCACCAAAACCCTTTTGCTGCTAAGGAAATCTAGGGAAACACACAGAATCAGCAGTTTTAGTTCTAATTTGATTTGGTGTTACCTTTTTAAAGTAAGCCCTTATTCTTTGAGCCAATGAATTTTAATAGCAATGTGGAAGAAATGAGAGGCAATTGACCCCTTGAACAGTTGGACTCCAATGACAGACCTAAAAAAAATTCTTTGTTTTTTGCACATTGCAAGTTGCAGAAATCTTAGCGATCTGTTGTACCTTGGAGATTAAGATATATGGAGATTTGTATGTTTGTGTGTATAACCCAATGGTGGAGCCTCCATTTATCTCAGATGAAATTCAGCAAGAAAATAATTGAAAAGCATCAATATTACTGATGTTAAAACAAATTACAGGTGTGGTGGTGCATTCCACATCCCCACCCTGCCCTTTCCAGGCTGCAGTATGAGAAATACTTATTCATGACAACAGGATGACAGCTACTGTCATCAATTTAAATTGTGGAAATAAGAGCAATTTAATCTGTATCACTTAAATTATTATTTGTAACATGCAGAAGAGATGAAAAATAATCCATGGAAAAGCACTCAATTTTAATGCTTAATGGACCAAAGGCTACTTTTAGTTATGCCAGTGTAAGCCAGTTGGCAGAATTGGGGCTCTCTCAGTGTAACAGAACAGAATCCGTCTGTAAATTTACCTCTTTAATAAATAAACCAGGTAGCTCACAAAAGTAATCTTTATAATGGCAAACTCAGTTGTGCTGGCTTCTTTTGCTTGCATTGTACACTAAATAGCAATACACAAAATCTCTTATTTAGAGCTCGATTTCATGCACAGACCCCATTTAAGAAGCCTGTATTACTTTACATCAAAACCATAAGTGAGACAATTTGCCAGAGATGACAGTCGGGTTCCAAAGCAATTACATCCAAAGATTTGATTTCGTCACGGTATCGGATCTGCCTGTAGCATAAGAGGACAAATTTTAAATATCTGTGAGGAACCAGTGCAGTTTATGATTGTTGCTCTGCGGGACTTGCGTTTGTAAACTCTGTCCGTACACGCTGAGCCACCTGCAAATGCACCTTAAGCCCTTTCTCTGTCGGAAGGCGGTGATTTAGGCTCGTAAATGTCCGCAAGAACAGGACAGCGAGCACTTGATTTCATATTGCTGCAGTAGCTCACTTTTACATCCGAAGTAGCACTGGTTGCCGAGCGGTACGTGCAGCCCGTGTCCGTGGTCTCGGCGAAACGCGGCGTTTTCACTCGGGGAGCACCTCCCGCACGGAGGGTTTAACCCGACCTATCCGCGGTACTTCCCGCTGGGAAATGCGGGCTCCTGGCTTTCGCCGGCCATGGGTGGGACCGACCTGCCTGCCCCATCCCTGCCGGGAGCGCCCTACCTGCGGCGGGCGGCGCAGGAAGGGGGCGGCGCGGCGGGGCGGCGGTTCCGGGCACGTCGCGTTCCTCGCCCCGGCACCCGCCGCGCCCATGGCCGCTCCGCAGGAGCCGCTGCTGCCCCCAGGTGAGGCCGGCGCCGGGGGGAGCCGGGTGGGAGGGCGGGGATGCCCCGGGGGCGGCGGCCGCTGCCGAGCCCCGGCGGGCCGGGACAGGCGATGCGCGGGGTGCGGCCCGCGGCTCCCGGGAGCCAGGTGAGGAGCGCGGACCCGGCCGGGCTGAAAAGAGTTCTTAAGTTTCTCCCTTCCCCCTCCGCTCACGCCAGTTAAGTGTGGTAATAATTTATCGTGTGCTCTGCTGATGTGATTTAATGTAGCTTGTCTTGTCAAGCCTGCTCCGGTATTTAGCGTGTACGTTAGTTTGCGCTAGTTTAACAGCGTGTTCAAAATACCTTTTTAAAATACAATTTCTTAGAAGCCCAGAGCTCGGGTGGCTACGAAGTCCACGTGCATTAACTTACATAGTAATGGTAATGGTGCAAATGACTTTTAAGTCCCTCACCTCTGGTGTGCATCATCACAGATTTTTCCATGGCTATCTGCTCAGACAGGGACAAAGTTTTGAGCAGTTGACGTAAACAAAAATGCACAAGTGCTGATGGACCTGGGCTTTTCAGGGTGCTGAATATTCTAGTATATTTTGCCATATCCTCCTATTCAAATCTACAATTCATATGTCTGTAGTCAAAGCAACATTTTTATTTGTGTTTAATCAAAGAGTTCATCTCCATGAGCAACATTAGTATTAGAGTGATTACTTGTTTAAGTTGTGCTAAGTTAAGTTATTAATGTGTTTGCCCAGCCTTGGTGTGGAAAAGGTCTTACATGCATGGCTGAACTATGTAACTACAGCCGATCTGAGGTGCTTCACTCACTACTCACAACACAGTCAAGACTGTGTTGCAAGTAAAACTGTAACAGAGGAGAACACTGTCTCTGCTGCTTGGTGTTTTGTGACCCCCCTCCTGCTTAAATGTCAAAATCCTGAGGTCTCTAAAACTCGCTTTCAGACTTCCTTCCAATGCAAGGGTGAAAAGCAGAAAAACTGTTTGCACTGGTACGTGCAGAGCATTGCATCCCCCTTATAGCAGCAGTATTGGGCAGAATGAAAAGGTGGGCATTGGTGCAAGTCTGCTGCTCTTCTTGCAGACTGGTCATACTGGGTGGGCCCTGGCAGAGCTGTATGCAGGTGCTGTGTGGCAGAAATGAACCTGAGGAGCAACCACTGAACCTGATTTATGTCTGTCCAAGTCAATGTGCACATGGTGATTTATGTCCATCTAAGTCCACTCTCTCGTGGCTCCCTGCAGAAGTGTGGGGAAGTAAATGTGGTCCGGTGTCCATATCCTGTCGGGGTGAGTACAGTGGTAGTGATTTAGTGAGGGATCCCAGGTAATGTTGTTATGAAGCTGTCTGTCAAAGTAACCATGAAATCAGACAGTCAGTCAGATGATACCTTCAGTTCCTGTTGGCCTTTCAGCATGCAAAGCTGTGCATGGTTTGCATCTGAGATAAACACAGAACTTTGCTCCCTACTGCTTTGTACACCAGCACAGCTCTGTGACATGAGCTGTGGAATGCTGGGGCAGATACGTGTGGGAAAGAGAGAAAGGACATTCAAATTGCCTTATTCACAATAAAATATCAGGTCTGTGTTATTCAGATTATCTGCCTGCTATGAGTGGTCAACAAGACCCTGGTGAATCATCTGCAGCCCAAAATGTGGAGTCTTTAATCTTAGGTGCAAATATTCATACACTTACATGCCACTTGCAAAAAAAAACAGGGACTTGGTAGTACTCTGCAACCTAAACAAAACAATGGAAATTACTATTCTTCATAAAGAACTATTAAATAAATGGAAGCAATTGAGGTATAGGAAATGAAATACAATTTTAAAATCTTCAGGATGGATGCTAAGCAAGAAAGATGCAGATTCTCATGACTGGGTGTTTATGTGTAAGACCTAGAAAGCAGGATTGAGAGGTACCAGCCTTGTACCCCATCACCTCTTGACCACCCACACGTGGGTCTGTCAAATCCTCGTTTCAAATGCCTGTATTCCCTGAGCTTCTCCGATTTTTCAGTGCTTCCCTTTGGATTGTGGAAAGTAAGTTACCAGTGTTAAAATGCACCTTGGTGGTGTCATGGAGATGTAACAACAGAGAATAGAGGACAGAGCCCTTACATAGCTAAGTGAAGTTCACCAAAGCATGGACGTTCTGTGGGGTCTGCCTTCACCTGCCTCAAGGCTCCGCTTACATGGGAAAAAGGAAGTTCTGGGGGTTGTTTTGTTTGTTTGGCAGGTTGCTTTTTTTTTTTTTAAATTCATCTAAGAATCTGTAAGGAGGAGCTGAAAGGCCTCCAGAATAAACCAACAATAAGATGCATGCTTTGCCACTGGCTTTGAGTGGAAAAACGGTGAGACCAGGGATGCCTGGGCTGGCCTTCTTCCCTAGAGTCTTTCTTTGGCTCCCAGTACCTCCTTGGTTTTCAGCTTTCCTTTACTGGATGGGCCTCTCTTTGCCCAGTTCCTCTGCAGCTTTCCACTGCAGTTCCCACTAGAAGCCTCTATTTTTGGCCCTACCCTGAAGCAATGTTTTATTGTATTTTCCCATGTCCCGGTGACTCTCAACTTCTCTGCATTTGAGAGTTTGTGCTGACTGTGCTGCTGGGCAGGCTTTATCCAGAACATTTTGTTAATACCATGTTTCTGGAGCAGGGATTTCATATGTACCAAAAAAGACATCAGAACATAGGGGTTTAGTTAGTTAGTTTTTTTGTTTTCTTCTTCTGCATATGGCTTCCTAATTTGCAGTGTGAACAATGCTCAACTGGAGTTTCATAGGCCCCTGCCTTTTTAAAATATGCAATGTGCAAAGACTCTGCTCAGCCCTTGTCATCTACCCCTCTGATCATGTGCCACCTGCCTGGACAATGCCTGTGGATTTCCTGGGGGCTCTAGCACGGAGAAGGGCTTTATGTGGAATCTCAGGGACACCCTGGAACTGCTGCTGGTGGGGCTGCCTCACAGAAGCAGGAGAGAGAACAACTCTGTCCTACTGCTGCCACCTTTTTTATTTTCAGTTTATTGTGCTGTCTTGCATTGGTTATTGCTTCAGCTTGTTCTGTCGTATGTTGCAGCTGAAAACTTAATGTTACTTGCAGTAAGTGACTTTTAGAGTAAGAGTGACAAAAATAAATATCTTACCACATAATTTAAAATGTTTTTCAATTTTTGAAAGCATTTGTTCTTATCAACAGAAGAGATTTCTGAAAAATATGTCAGGATGATATTAAATTATAGGAATAATTTTGTGAATCCTGTCTTCTGTATGAGATTTGTTCCACATTCTCAGTGCACTTGTGGTCAGTATCCCACTAGTATTTGTCAATTTAGCCATTGATGCAGAGGGATCAACATTTTCTGATTCACCTGCAGGCACTTTGAAGATACATGTTTTGATTCTCTTGATATTAATATAGTTGAATTTTACTGTTCTGTAGTATACAAATAATAAACATTTTGCACAAATATTTTTAATTAGTGTTTTCAATTTTCTATTGTAATCTGGTGTTCATTCTGGTATTAATTTTTGTTGTAGTGGGTATGTTAGTTTCCTGTTTGAATTATTTCTTTGAGGAAAAATTTCAATGCTGTCAACAGGAGAACAGAACTTAGCTTTTAGAAAATTTACTGAATTTTAGTATTTATTGCTGTCATGTTTTGTGATTTTTTTCACAAAAGATAGTTTGAGACTTTAGTTGAAGTCTGTCTTTTGTTAGGTTAGAGTTGGGTGTCCTTATTACACCTAGTTTCTAATGTCTGTGCTAGTTGTTCCGACATTTTCCAGTTTGTCATGTTTTCTTGTGGAAATATGACATAATTCATGTAATGGCTGTATAGTTATGTTTTACCTTAGTCAAGCAAAGAAGCAAAATACGAATTGGCAGAAATACTTGAATGACTATGCAGTGATAAAGTTTTCTTCTTTCCAGCAGATCATGCAGCAAAAGAGCCAGTGGAGGATACGGATCCAAGCACTCTTTCCTTAACAATGGTATGTGTTTCTGGTCTAGCTCTCTATGGTTATGTTAGCATTCAAGGATGCTAACTCACACAAGATTTTGCTTATCTGTAGGACTGCAAAAAAATGTTAATAAATTAACTAATGCACTCAAAGTGTAAATAAAACTACCAACAGGTGCATCAGCTAAACTGGATGGTATTATCAGCAGAGCTGTCCATGGATAACATCCAAAGGCTGTGGCAGTGACATCTCTTTAATTTAAAAAAGCCCCAGCAACTGAGAAAAATTAGTGCTGACATTCTTCTGTCTACATAGTTTGAATGGATAAAATAACCCACTTAGGGCTTAAAATTTTAACACTGCTAAGCTATTATTGCTTCCTGTAGCTGATTGGAAGTCATGGAAGGGTAGGATCCAAGAGCGGTGCCTTAGGCAGACCCGGCTGAGCCTGGGAGGGACCAAACCGCGCCCTCTGGTGCTCGCTGGCACACGAGCACCGCTTGTGTCGGGATCTCAAACACCCCAGGCTCCTGCCCAGCTGGGAGTAATAGGAAATTCTGTGAAAACATTTTAAAATGGGGCTTTCTGTAAAAGCCACGCCTATTTTCACGTAAGGGTGAGGGCCATAGGGAAGGAGGTAAATATCAGATATAATAATAAGTTATGTCATGCCCAGGAATCAATAGCTTCTCCTTAAACTCAGTAATATTAGCTTCCTATTGCTTCTTAATCAGCTATGTAAGGTTAGAGCAGAAGGGGAAAATATTTCTTTTTATTTCGATGCAGTAACATTTTATTAAAAGCTTAATCTGCTAAAAGAGAATTTGCAGTCATGTCTGTTCCTCCTGGCATGCCTTACATTTTCAAGATTATCTTGCTACTTCAGTACAAAATTTATTTTCCGAAACTCTGCTTTTTCACTAAAAATAGCTTTAAAAATACTGAAGCAAAGGAGCAATCTTTATTGCTTGTTCAAGTGCTAATGAGCAGTGCTGGTAGCATCTCAGTTTCCCACAGAAGAGTGTTGCTGTATCTGATGGTGAACAGATCAGCTAGTAGCAATTTGATAGATACAATTATAATTATGCACTTACAAAAGTACATAAAGAAGGAGCATATAAATACTCTTTCCTTCCCCAGCACAATTGCACTCAAAATAATAAACATCTGTGTTTCTTGCCTTTTTGTGACAGACAGAAAAATATCCTGTCCAAGACACAGGAGTACCTAAAGGTAGGTATTGTGAATTTTGTCTGTTCAGATATCATTGATTGATCTGTTGCTATCCTCAATAAAACCAGTGGTGTTACCCAGCAGATTAAAATACTCATACTTTTTGCTACATATTTGTGTTTTAAATGTAATGCCCTCATTATTTTTGAGGTGAGTTTGGTGTGTATATCTAACTTTTGAAATTTCCTTCCAAAGTTTAGTTTTGATCTTAAAATCACTCTAAAACTATCATCAGAAGACCTGGGTTCTTGATCTGAAAGGAAAATACAGTGGTGCCATTGAAAGACAGGGTTCAGACAACAGATGTTAGAGACATCATAATGTTAGATGGTGACTTTGAAGGGACTACCAGTACCTTCATGTTGTTAGAAATAAAATCAAGAAATAACTTTCAGTTCTTTTGCCTCTGACTGCATTCCCAGCCTTATAAACAGTTCAGCTTTTTGTGCCATCTTTTACCTTCAGCTGGTGTTAATACCATCTACTGGGAGTGTACTATTAGGTCTACTCTGCACAAGTTCCTGCCTCTCCTTGCTGAAAGTGGAGTGAAGGAGTGCAGGTTCTGAAGAAAATACATGGATTACACAGTGTGAATATCCTCCTTATGTTTCCTTGAGGTGTGGGGTGGGTTTTTTGTTGTCACCCCAGGCTTTGCCATTGAGTTTTGTCCAGGGAATGCACTGGCAGGGGCTTGTTTGAGGAGCACTCTGCAGGTAGTGTGTTCTCCATCCTGTGTTGCACAGCAGGTCTGCAGTGGGACAGCCACAGGAAACCAGGCTTGTCACAATGGAAACTTGTGCTGAGGAGTGGGAGCATTGGGGTTAAAGAAAAGTTGGGGATTATTCTGGGGCTTGAGAAAGCCAGGCAGAGGAAATGAGGACTCTTCGGAAGTGTTGCTCAGCAGGGAAAGATCATGTGGGATGAAGACTATTTGAAGTCATAAACTAGTTTCTGTTTATTTGCAGGCAGGTGGTTTGGTCCTTCAAAATTGTTTATTAGCACCAAAGCAATTACATTAGAACATTCTTTTCTATGTTCTGTTTTTTATTTCACCTATGACATTAGATCCTCCTCAAAATTAATAAGTTCCTAAATTTCAAATTTGCCAGGGCTGTTTAAAGTCCAAAATTGCATATTCTAAATGCACGTAATTTAAAAAGGAAAGCTATGACATAAGTAGAAAGGTCAGCACTTTCTGTAAAAAGGAAGTGCACTTGGTTTATATTTAATTTTCATTTTTACTTCCTCTTACTAAGTGTAAGAAGATGTAATTACTAATATAGCTTGACATTTCCCCTTTAAAGCTGAATGGGATACAAATACCTCTTAGTATTCTGTTCATTTCTGTAAATTTCACTATTTCTCTGAGAATGGCTTTCCACAGTTATTTCTATAAAAATACAAACTTAGAAATATGAGTCTCTCAACTAAAATTGCAACAGATGTGCCAGTCTGATTCTGTATAACACACAATTATGTTTGTTTCAGATTTAATGTTTGAACAGACAGTACATTGGTGAGAGGGGTTGTCTGTTTCTTTTATTGGTCAATTAATTAATGGGCTGTTTTGGAGCCATAACTTATTAAAGTTCTTGGCACCCTGTACTGATTATGAAATAAAAGGGAGTTGAGGGAACTTCTTATCTTGCAGAGGTCGCCTTAGTGTTTGTCATGATTTGATAATAATTCTATTTCCACTCAAATATAGAACAAATTTCACACATCTCATTTCCGCAGGTTTGATGCCCATGCTTTGCATTTTCAGACAGCCTTTATTTTGGAGGGGACTTTTTTGGTGGTTTTTTTTTTTGGTGGTTTGTTTGTGGTGGTTTTTGGTGGTTGTTGTTGTTGATGTTATCGTTGTCTCTGGAAGTACAGTCACAAAGAATAATGATGACCCTCTACCAAACATTGACATCACTGGGGATGAAATATCTTCCAACAGTCTTATAAAACCAGAAAAAGAGAATAGTGATTTTTTGTTTCCTTTTTCTTGCAAGTGTAATGGTAAATTCTTTGATTCTTGAGTGAGTTAAGAAAATATTGCTTCTTTCTGTTATGTGATGATTCATAAAGGTAATAGAGGTTCTTCAGTGAGATCTTGACACTAAACAAATAATAAATGGAAACATACCAGCACTACAAATGTAGTCACCCCATGGAGCATTCTTGTGTGTAAAAACATGTAGAACATAATCCTTTTTAAGCTTGTGTTAATGGTTGGTCAGCATCTGACTTAGGGGACTTAGGCAAATAGTCTGATGAGGAGGACCTTACTAATCATGCAGAGTACACAAGGTCCACAAAGGGTTTATGTATCCTTTGTATCCCATTTTGAGGGCTGAAGTGATGCTTGAAAAGTTAGTAGAGTTTGTGCTGTACTAGGGAATGCTGTGCTTTTCAGTGGACTCCCAGGGCTGTTGATAAACACACTTTGAAATGGATTCTTTCAGTGCTTCAGCAAATTCCTGTGCAGTAGGAATCACCAGGATGAGTCCAGTTCACAAAGGGGCAGAATATAAGATAAATATTTATGCAGTACTTATTTTAACTGTCATTTTAAACAAAAACAAAAATTAGAGTGACTTGTGACATCTTCAGCATACTGTGTTCTATTGGTTTAGTTAATATTCTGTAGTCAGCTTTCTGAAAGAACAACATGACTCTTGCTTTAAAAATAGTGTGATGTTTGTTTAGAAAACAACTGTTACTCTAATATCTAATCTCTGTAAGGATTATATTTCTTCTCACACTCGTGCTCTGCATGACTGTTACAGACTCTGCTGACTTAACATTTTGGGCTTTTAATCTAGCAATTCCCAGTGTTTGCTCATGATATGGAGTTAAATTTTTTATATTAGACACCTATACTATAATTTCTGTTTGATAGTCTTATTTAAATTTGTGTGTGAGTGGAAGACCGGTGTTTCACACACTCTTTGCCTTAGATGAGGAATACCTAACAGATCAAGTTACTTTGGAAATTGCATCTGTGAACATCAAGACCCTCACATCAGATTCTGGCCTAATACAACAGGTAAGAAAAATTATACTTGATTGTGAACTAAGTTACTGCTGTTAATTCAGTAAATGTGTTAACAAATAAGTATATTTTCAGACTATATCTGGAGACCACAAAAGTATTCAGTACAACAGACCGGAAATTTGCTTTCTTTTCATGAGTTCAATAAAGGGGGCTTTTGTGAAGAAGAGCAAAAAGAGAGATTATTTTATCATTAACATGTACTTTTTAGTTTGAATAGGTTTTGATCAATGTATAGATGTTCTGAAGAAGAGCCAGCAAAGTGTTAAAGCTTTGTCATGCATGCTGTCCCTCTGATGAAAATATTTCCTGGTGAAAATAAAGCCAGGCAGAGAAGAAGTGAAGAAGTAAGAAGGAATCCTAGATTTTGTCTTTAGGGAGGCATTAGATGGTTTTGCTTTGATTTTGGGACACTGCACTTCCCATAGTTGAAACATTGTCCACTTTTTGTGACACCTTTCATTGCCATAGGAAAGGCAATGTTGAGTGACTCCCATGCTCCATGGTTATCATTTTCAAGTGAATGTTTTTTGCTGAATTTCAAATTGATTCTCTTTGGGTTGAGCAGAAAACTTGGAGAAGATAAATGAATAAGCATTTTCCAGCAAGATGAAGAATTAAAAGGAGTTCCTAATGCCAGAGTCCCAGCTGAATTCCATCAGAAACATGTGTTTGGTATGCATTTCACAGATGATGGAGGTAACTGTTCCTTCCCATCATCAAGAAGAGAGCATTTGTTGGCAGCTTAGAATCACTATAAAGATAATTCAGTGTATTAGGGTAGTAATGGTTCCACGGAGCTGGAAAACTTTCTGCTTACCTTCAGACTGTACACAAGTGTATGGCTTTGATTAGACCTGTAGAGGATGATTGGCTCTTCATTGTGGGCAAAAAATATTCCTGCTTAATGCCTTCATTTCCCTGGCAGTAACACTACATTGTCTTATTGCAATTACATTACAAGAAAATGATCTTGAATAAACCTGAGTGCATCTGACTTGATAAATTGGATAATGACTGATCAGTAAAAATAGGAATTTTGAAAACAGATGTATGGCACAGGTAAGTATCACTGCTTTTCTTTATACTTTTTGCAGTACTCCCCACTCTTATTTTTTGTGCCTCATAAGGCATGTATAATGACATAAAAGCACTTAGGCATTGGCTTTCACAGTAAGGTTTGAACTTCAATGAATTGATAAAGTCTGAGAAATTAAGTTCAGGATAGCAGTTAAGTGAACAGTATCTGCTTTTCTTTTGTTTTTGTTTGGTTTTAGTGTGGATTTTTTTTTTAAATTTGCTTATTTGTTTCTTTTGAAGTAGATCTCTGGGGAGGCTGAGGTGTCCTGGGAAGTTCCTCGTTCTCCACAATGAGTTAGTCTTCTGAGAATCTGCTCCTTGAGGCTCAGTAATAACATTCTGCCTTTTTAAGGCATTTGTGGGAGTGGAGACAATTACTATAATCAGGAACTTCAGATTTAATTTTTTAAATTTTTTTTTTAACTTTGTGTGCTCGCATGTTGCCATGAAGGCCAAGTTTGTGTTTTAAAAGTGCTGTCCAGATAAAGCTGTCGTGGTACAAAAGTAAACTGCTAGAAGGTAATGACAGGGCTTATTCAGTTGCAATTGGCATGTGCAGTGTTAGATCTCTCTTGAGCAGACAGCAGACATTTTGATGTTGCATGTGTGGTCTTGCAGTTTTCAGGGAGTAAAGAAACACTGAAAACAGTATGCAAATTTTTCCTCTCTTAACCAAGTCTGTAAATATTTTGGAGAGAGTTCACCTTCTTTATAATTAGATCATGAATGCGTGCAAGTTCACCACAGCAACTGAAATTGCCTGTATTCTATTTTTAGTGGATTTCTTGGTAAAGAAGGTGTAGCAGGTAGGACTAGAGTATCTTATTACACTATATTGTTACCCATACATTGACTTTTGTTTGTATGCACAACCTGCAAAATTAAGAAGCCTGCTGTTTCAGAAGAATGACACAATATAAAAAGATCAACAATACTTCTTCATTGCAGCTATCTAAGGGGAAAATCCCCTTCTACTTTCATCTTTAAATCCTCAACAGAAGAAAGCTATTTCACCTGGCTCCACACCTGCATAGTTAAAGTAAGGGCAGCTGCAGTTTCCCCGCAGTTCTACAATCAAGGGGCTGTCCTTTCAGTTTTTGGAGGTTGCTAACTAGTAGAATTTAAATGTTACATGTGTTACAGTCTCAGCTGCTAAGTAATTTTGTTATGTTTAATTAGCAGACAAAACATAATTGAGGGAATGTTAACCTCAAATAGGAGAGAGGGTTGGATGTGAGCCGCAAAAATATTCATGTCCACCTGTTGTCTATAAAAGCTTCCTATGTACGTGAAGAAGTTTGTAAAAAAATTTTCCACTTTGCCTAGATCAACAAAACAATCCCTTATGGCTGCTTGTTACAAAATTCTTGGTTTTTACATTGCAAAACATTTAAAAAATCTTCTAAATCAAACCATATGAATTGTTACATAACTTTTGGGTGTTTAAGAGAGAGTCAAAAGATGCAATGCTGTAGCATACCATTAATAAAAACACTGTAGTTCAGTGCATACAACCAAGAGGGCTGTTTTATGAACCAAAGCATGGCTGAAAAGACTGCAGATTGTTAGCAATTCCTCAAAACTGTATGTATGTTCCCTGTCTGACTTTACAAGTAGCTTGGGATTCTTTTAAGTAATCTTCTGCCAGTTGTAGATTAGTCAAATACTTATTCTGATGTTCAATTACATTGTTTTATTTTTACTTTATATTTGTTTTCTGCTTTGTAGCCAGAAGACAAAGACACACAAAACCATACTGACAAATCACTTTCAGGTAATATGTCAACTTTATTGTTCTCCATATTTTATTCCTAGCTTTTATTTCAAAGTGCTTTTTTAAAAACTGCTATTTGTCATAACAAATAACTGCCAGGATAATTAGTGCTTATAGAGCTAATTTCCTTACCAGTGTAATTTACAGTTTCCTCTTTTGTTTTAAGATGATGGTGATCAATAATGCAGATCATACAAAATATGCAACTTGGGCTTTCCAAATACATTTAGTACTACCACTGCCTTTGGAAGTGATGTGTAAATAGCTGTCAGGAGAGAGCAGAAGCTGGCAGTAGGCTGTGAGTGTTTATCCCATCATTTGTGTGAGTTCTGCTGGGGAGGGGTGGGTGTGTGTGTATGATATACAGTTCTTTTAGTCTAACAGTAAGAAACTGAGAGTTTCCTATTAGTAAGGCAGCTTGTCCTATCAGGTAGCATTAGGATCATGCAATTAGTTGGGTAGTGTTTGTCAGTGTCTAGCACAGGAGCACCTTAGAAAAGCAGGATTCTTTATGATGCTTTTGATATCTTCCAGATGGTATAGCACGAGAAGCAGGTTGGTTTAGTTTTGTTTACTTGTATCTGTGCCCTTTTACAGAGGTGTTTTCATTACCCCTTCTTCCCTGTTTCTACTGGGGACAAAGCTTACCCTGGCAACCCTGCCAGAGTAAATAAGATGAAATTCAGATAGAGTGCTCTCCTGCCCTGTAAGCTCAGCCAGAAATTTGATTGGATTATATTATATTCGTGTTACCTTGTTTGTATAAGTAAAGGTTGGCATGAATAAAGCAAGAAAGTTTTGTCTCACTTCAGCAAGTTTAGCATGCACAAGAAGAACAGAAGAGTTAACATCCTTATTCCTGTAGAGAACAGCTGCAAGGCCTGTGGAATACCTGTGAGCTAAGATGTCACCAGAATGTTTCCCTTTAACAGGGAATCTAAGTATTTGTATGAAGTTCTGTCTGCAGTGGTGTTGTTGCTGCACGTCCTAACTTGTTGAAAACTTCAGAAGTTGTCCTTGGCCTGCTAAAAAAACAATCTGATGAGCAATGGTACAAAACTAGCAATAGCCTGTTCCGTCTTTAAAAATAAAATAGAACATGCCTGCAGACATTATATTCTGGAATTTTCACACAATCTGACAGTAATTACTGAAAATAAATAATTGATGTTAAAAGAAAGAGCCACAAAATTTCACAAACAAAGAGCCTGAACAGATGCAGTTGTCCTTATGAGTAGGTGGCACTAACTACCAGATTTATTCTTTGCCAGAGATATAGTTCAGGCCTCTGATACAGCACTTGTAAATTGTGTGTCACTGTTTTCTGTTGTTTTTAATCAATCATTTGATTACTATCAGCCCTTTTTTCATAGACTTCAGTCTGAAGTAATACTAGCTACTTCCCTATTTCAAGCTGTACAATAAGGCTGGAGCACAGAAACTTTATGAAAAGCTTCTAGGCTGTGTCCACTATTTGGAGATACCAGATTCTCCCTGCTCTCAGAAAGGAGCAGGGAGAGTTAAGGTCATACCTGCAGCCAAAATGCTCAGACCATGTCCTGCACTGTTGCAGTGTTAAAGGTCTAGGTATTAGAGTTTGACTAGAGGTATGACTCAAACTAGTTTCTGTGTGGTTTAAGGGATATTAATATATAATATAGTCTGATAGCACCACATTGTTTCCAGTTTTGGGGGAGATGGTGTGTAGGAGATTTCTAAATGGCAATTTTCAGTATTTGATGCAGACTTTAGAACATATCACCACTTCTTTCCAGCAACTTGGTATTTTTGATTTTCTCATATAGAGGAGTATGCACTTTATTCCTTTTCATGATGTACATTTAAAATAGGCTTTGTTGGTAAAACAGGGACAGCTTTTATTGCATGAGCCCTTACAAAGCAATGGAATATATCTCCTTTTTTCATTGTGTTGAAGTACTAGATGTTAGCTGTATTTGGATCTGTCAGCAGAAATTCTCCTGGTGCACATATTTCATGTTGTTATGAAGGTAGCAGCTCAGAAATGCAAAACCTTTTCCTTCATTCTACAACACAGTTACACAAGATGCACAGAATGCACACATAATCCTGCTGGTGATGTAAGTGGGCATTATGGTATATTCAAGGAAGAGACATTGTTCCAAAAACAAAAAAGCAGACTGTCCTAGCTCACACACTGCGTTGAATCCTGCGTCTTTTCTGTAAAAGTATAAATATGGTACTTTCAAAACTACTGTCTTTTTGATTAATGCCACTTTTGATTAGAGTGTAGTGAAGGGAGAAGTTTTAGAAAGTTAATTTAATGAGTTATTCATGAGAAGAGGCATTGCATATCACTATTCTGACTTTTTCAGAAGGAATTCAAAGCTCAACCCTTTATGCTTTTAACATTTTGTTCCTGTGATACCACAGCAATAGATCCTAATTTCTTCCCATGTAATGGTTTTCACTGCAGATCTCAAGAAAACCTGCAAGGAAAATGTCACCTGCTCCTTGTGCTTATTCCGTGCACCAACCATCAGTGACATGCTCAATGATGAAGACTTGTTGTACACAGTGAGGCTAAAGCTGGATCCCTGCCATCCAACAGTGAAAAACTGGAGAAATTTAGCAAGCAAGTGGGGGATGACTTATGATGAATTGTGTTTCCTTGAACAAAAGCCCCAAAGTCCCACCTTGGAATTCTTGCTACGGAATAGTGACCGGACTGTGGAGCAGCTGATTGATCTCTGTAAATTTTATAAGAGAATTGATGTTGTAAAAGTGCTGCTGAAATGGGTGGAGGAGGAATGGCCCAAGAGAGGGAACAGAACTTACCAGAATGACTTCTAGGTCAAAGAAAGTCGTTAGTCTGTATGTGTTAAATGCTGGCTACCACTCATACACTGGAAGTTTCCCTTGCAAGAGAGAGAAAGCCTGTACTGAGGGTTTGTATACTGTGTAAGCTTTACCTACTGTATACACAATGTAAGCTTTATGCCCGCAGGGTTGCAAAGATAACCTTCCAAAAGTGGATGGAATCATCCAGGTTGTGTTCTTGAGTCTGCAAATACCTTCAGTTTCTTTGCTGCTGTTCGCAGCCTTCCTAAATAGAAAAGGACTGAAAAGGCCAGACTGCTTGTTTTACTGCAACAGTTGTGAACCATATCAGTTGTGTGCTGTTGTTACTGGGAAAGCCACAGTTAGAAGGCAAGTCTCTTGGCCTTACTGGCAGCCCTTCCACAGTTTTGTATGTTCTACCTAGTAGAAGATGAGGTGGAATCTTTTTCTTCCTTTTTAGTTGTTTTTTAAGCTTTGTGGCACTGTTTTTGGCACAGGAACACCTCAGTGTTCCAGGCAGCAGTTTGGGTCTGAATGTTACAATTAACTGACGATTCAACATCAGATTTGAGCAAATTAAGTCTCTTCTATGAACAAGAGTAGACATTAAACAATAACAGATGTTAAAATAATTACTCACATGCTACTACATCATAGGCTATATATTTACTCTTAAGAGAAATCATGCAATTCAGAGAGACTTTTCAACCCATAACCTTTAGGGGCCAAAAAAACCAATTAAAAGGTTCTATGCTTAAAATTGCTTTCCAAAGGTTTAAAGACAGTGTACACTCTGAGTGCAGATATCAAATCCCTCTCACTTTGCAGTGTGAGATGATGGCACCACAGGGTATTGTTAGTATTGACTGTAACTTCTTTTTCCACAGGCTGTGGTTTTCTTTACAGTTCTGTGTGTTGGCCTACTTTCTGTCCTTCCCCAAGACAGTTGTAGTCTTGTGTGAAACTAGCACTATATATTGATTAAAGCCACTCTAATAGAAAATGAACAGCTGAATTCACCTACAGCCCAGGTGGATGGTTATTAAAGCACTTACAGTGGTTTAGATTGATTTTTTTAAAGGATTTTGATTGTCTGAATTATACTGTTTACATTTAAAATGTTTCAGAATTGGCCTTTTTTCCACCATTCTTCTGACATCTCAGACAATGTAGTATGTACATAGGTGTATATACCCAAGCACTGGTCAAGATGTGGGGCAAAACTAGAACGGGGTGCAGGTTGATACTGATTACTTTTCTTGAGTAGAAATAATAAGAATTAGTAGCAAAGCTGAGGGAAGTCTAATGCTGTAGGCTGAGTTTCTTACTGTAAGAGTTTGAAAAGTGACCTCTAGTAATACCTTACTATAGATATTGAGTGATATGGTTAGAGAGGAGCTAGAAGTAAAGACTAACATTTTCATGTCAGACACTTGTTCTGGACTGACATAAAATTAGCTTTATTTTAGTGACTTCAAGAAGCTGAAAGTCTTGTTTCGGGATAAAGAAATTGACCTAAATTTGAGGTTTGAATTTTTAATTTTTTTAGAAAACACTGGAATTTGTAATGAATTTTTTGAACCAGTCCTCAAAAAAAGCTGCTACTCTTTAGAACTCTAGTTTTCTAGCTGTATTTTAAGGAGAAATTTTACTGCTCTGTCTTGTTGGGGCTGGAGTTCAAGCATTTAATGGTTCTCTTCTAAGAGTCATCTGTTTCCCAACAGATGTCTGTCAGCTCATAACTTTTGCAAATAATCTTCTTTCTTGAGTTACATGCTCTAGATTCAGCTTTGGGGACTATTGCTGTGGCTGGGCTGCCTGCTGCTTTCAAGTCCTGCAGGGGCATCCAGTGCCAATGTGCAAATAGCTCATAATGCAGCTTGTCCAACATAATTCCCATACCTTGGGCTAACTGCATGCAGGATTTAGCATCATATGTCCGTGTGTTAAGTTGTTCTGAGTGATGAGTGCTGGCATGTATGCACACAGCTTTTCCCTCCCATAACATACCACAGGTATATCTGTGTGGTATTTATGCTGTGCTTTGGTAGATCCAGACCAGCTAGGAGCTGGAATCCTCACCTAAGAATCAGAATGGGAATATGAAATGGTGCAGTAGCATTCCTGAATCAATGTTTTCAACTGAAATCTACCCCTTTTCCTGATTTCTGGGTAAAACCTGTAAAATTCTGAGGAAACTCTGATGTCTTGTGAAGATGAGTTTGGTCCCTTGAAGCTCTTCAAGAGTCAATGTCAGATGCAAGAGTTCATGTTGGATGGAAATAAAGCTGCTTCTGAGAGTTCATAGGTAGATTCTGTATAAATTCAGCTCTGATGGTTGAAAATGTTAGCCTTAAACTTCACCACACACTGGATTACTCATTACTATACTTGAAATACCTTTTTTCTTCCTTGTATGGCATAAATGGAGATGTACACACTCTTTGTTTAGTTTTATATCTGTTTACAAGATATTGGTTCTGAGTGTTCAATTTATTATGTCTTCTGTTTTAATGTGTACTATTTTTAGAAGAAATATAGTTGTCAATGTTTGATTTTATTGTATTTGTTTTTATTACAGCTAGGAAAAACTGCCGTTTTCCTTCTCACCAGTCATCTTGGAATTACTGAACTATCAATTGTTCTGTGTAAAAAATACCTTATATATGAAATTCATGATGCCTTAAAACATTTACATTTGCAACACCTACTGCTGTTGAAGAAAGGAAGATGCAATTTTTAAAATATTTTCCATATGAAAAATGAGTTTTGATGAGATGATGAACAGAAACTTGTAGCTGAGTTACTGACTAAGAGGTATGAAACATGTATGGGGTGAACTTTTCCTGAATTAATAATCAGTCTGATACTGGACACTAAAAAGGCTCTACTAGGCTATTATTTGTTCCATCATTTCCTTCTCCTATTCCTGTATAAGACCTATTCTCCCTTCAGTGATTTCCAGTTCTTTGCCTGCTGTCTCTGTGCCTGCAGGATGATCAGTGGCCTTTGCAACCCGTTTTGGCTTCTATGAAGCTGGCCAAACCACTGTATTATTTCATTCCTGTAAGCTTATCTAAGATAAAATGAGCTTAATAACTGTTCTTCAGTGACAAAGTTACAGTGCTGTGCTCCAGGAGAGCCTAGTTTTCCTGTGGGGACAACTGTGGGTGTCCCCAGCAAAATGGTGACAGGGTCCAGAAAGCCTTACTCTCTGCACATACTTCCTTTGGATCTGTGGAGAGGAATGCAGGATGGGTTTGGGACTGTCCTTTGGAACCTACCACAAAGGATAGGCATAGTCAGCATGGTCCCAGATGCTTGCTTCAAAATAACTTGTACAGAAACTGTAAGCCAAAGGTTATTCCTGAACCAGTACTGAAAAAAAGAGAGCTGCAGCTTGGTCTGGGCAGTGCTTTGTGCACCAGACTACATATTTTTCACTGTCTCAAAAAGCCTCCCACAGTTCCAAGTCAAGCTGTTAGCAAGAGGAAAGAAATGTAAATTCTGCCTTATGGTTCTTTAAGCTAGGGTAGCACTCTTGACTTGTGGTCAGACATAGCTGGAAATTATTTGTCAGACAGAAGAATTGTTTAAACAAGGTCAAAGAAAGTGCATGGCATTTATAATAACTTAAAGAGCAGCCTACTTGTGTAATTTTTGCAGCAGATCATGTTCTTCTGTCGATGAAGGCAAAGCAATTAGTTATTCATAACTACTTTCAATATATCTTGTGAATTTTAAATTTTGGCTCAGTTTTGCACAGAAGGGCAGAGCACCATTAAATGACGATGTGAGCTTGTTGCTTGTTTTGACAGAAAAGTGCTTTTCCTAGTCCCTGAGTTCAGCTAGTCTTGATTCCATGGCTAAGGTTAGTTGGCCTTAAGTGGATAGGGAAGGTATGGATCAGGTCAGACAGGCTGAATTTCAGCAGTGCTAAAAGAACTTACTTTGAGAGGTGCAGTTGGTAGCATCTGCCTGTATTTTGGCCAAGGACTGGGACTGACTCCATCTTACAAGGAACTTAACTGACCCCCATGAGGTGAGAATCTGACAGAAACTGATGGCAAAGAGAAGTAGACAGCTTTGGGAAAGGTTTGCTGTACCCTCTGTTAGGGGCAGAGGGGCAGTTAACAACTGGGCATACTCACTAGCTTGGTCTCAGTATTTTGCCTTTGTAAAACAGTGATTCTTAACTTAAAATGCAGGTCATTTGAGGAAATATATATTTGTTATTATGTTAGTGAGAGTTGCCCGAGATTCTTAAATGCTAAAAATCAGCGCAAGTAACTTGGATAATAAATGTGTTTTGTGTATCTGTGTATAGCAAGGAATATATACACAACTTTACACATTCATGTGAAATTGCTTATTCTTTTTTTATTATGAGTTTGTTTCAAAATTACCCAATATTTAATTTCAGAATGTTTTTTGTCTCAAAAAAACCCCAAACTGAAGTTTCATGTTGCTGATGACAAACAAAATTACATAACTGAAAAGTTCTTTAACAGAAAGACCTACGATAAGAAAGGGGCACCCAAATCCTTACAGTAGTAAAAATATCTTGAGTCTAAGCTGAGAATTTATTTTTGTCTTTCTTGCACCTAATATATGTGAGCTTCCCGTACTTCATTCACAATCCTGCAAATGATGGGTTTTTTTGGTCCTTATTTACTTTTGCCTCTGCTTTTTCTGAAGCAGAGAAGTTCACTGTCTCAAAGGTCTGTTAAAAGCCTGATCCTCTCTAACCATCAGGAAACACCTACCATCTCGTGGTGAGAGGTGATACTACAGCCCTCGCACGTCTCCCTTCAAAATGCAGCAGAGCTGAGGGCAGGTGACCTCATCTCTAACTGCAGAGACCCACCAGGGATATCCAGGAGCAAGGAGGATTATGAAGGTGTGAAGGTGGAGTTCTAGAGATCTTGGGTTTGGTCACAGTCCCCGGTTTGGAAAACATCACACAGGCTTTCCCTTGGCACAGATGTGTGATATTTCCTGTGATTTATCTCCCTAGGTAGGCAGGGAGATAAAACTTGGTACTGTGTGCAGATTGTGACACAGCTGCCTGGGGGTGGGGGTGTGCAGACAGGGCCAGCACAGGCACAGGTTTGTGCTCTTAGCTATTGCAATGCAAATGAAGGAGTGATCCTGACTACTTCAATAAACCTAGAGTGTCGTGTCACAGATTTAAGAAAGAAGGGGTGAGTATGTTTTAAGGGTTATATGGCCTGTAATTGGTTTTCAAAAGGTCTAGTGACTTCTTGGTATCTTCTTTGTCCTTTGGCCCTCATATCTAGTCTGTATCTTGTTTGCTCTTATGCTTCTCTTAAACATTTTGCTTTAAAAAGCAGGCATTGCAACAAAAAAATAGAATACTTGTTAGTTCTTGAAGCAGCTGTAGCATTTTAAGCTTTTGAATCTGTAAGCCCATTTAAAAACACTTTTTGTTTCCTATGATTTGCAACTGAAAGCTGGAAGATCTGAATGATCACTGAGGCTAAATAGTGACATGTCAAGGAAGAGTTATGGAAGGGCACTGATTAACTCATAGCTAAGCTAAAGCTGAGCCAGCTGGGCTGTCAACTGAAATTTTAATGTTGGTGTACCAAGAGGTGGTGACTTATGTCTTTCTTGAGTCTAAAGCTTTACAAAGAAGCTAGGGGAATGATTTCCATCAGAAAATGCTGTAATGCACAAACAGCTCCACTAAAACTACAGAAAACACTTCAGTCTTTTAAGAGCATATGAAGTCCTTAAGCACAAAATGTCTGCTGAACAGTCCAGTGTGCTAGAGGCTTTACCCTGTGGCCTGTAGTACTGTATAAACTAGTGCAAACTGTGTTATTCTGGTACAACAATAATATAAAAAAACTAGCCAAGAGTAACTTCCATGAGCAGGTTCCTTAATGGAGACTGTGTTTATTTATGTCAAGTCTAGGGATTTCCATTATTGATGGAAATTTTATAATTGGAACTGTGCATAAAATACCAAGCCAAATAAATGTGACCATGTATGTTTTCACCTTGGCTTTGGACCATGGCTTGCTATCCTGAGAGACACAGGTTACAGGCTTGGCATCATGGACAGGAGAGGTAGGTAAAATTTCTTAGGGGTAACAGGGTCCTCCTCGATGAAAGGCCTTATGGCCAAGAAGAGCTGCTATATTTACTTCAGCTGAAATTGGCTGCATCTGTTTTGACAAAGCATTTCTATTTTTCCAGCAAGCAAAATTCTGCTGGAACATGAGAAGTCTCTGCTGACAGGATTACACGTAGTCCCAGCAATGCCTGAGTGCGCATCAAATTTAGAAGAAAAAGCCTGAATTAGGACTGGGACTGTGGAAATAAGGGAACACTTTGTTATCTGCTGTCAGGACTGCCATTGGTAAATGGTGCTAAAAATAGCAGTCACAAGAAATCAGCAGGATCAGAAGACAGTCTATGAACAAAGCAACAGCACTGTAGCACAAAGCTGCTGAAGCTGTAACTCAGCTGACTCATTGTCAATGCTGCATCAGGTTTGGGAGCTGAAATAGGGACTTCCCTGCAAATTTCATGAACTGCCTATGACTCAGCCTAAAATCACATTAATCAAACAGCTGTTCTGCTTCAGTAAGGAACTGGTGCATAATTCAAACCACTGTAGTTCCTCTGGATTGTTTCTTCCCAAAAGTAGAAGAGCCCTGAGCAAGAAGTAGTAAAGTAGTAAAACTTTGTTTTCTGTGGTTCTAGAAACATTTCACCTAACTGCTCTTCCTTTCAGCATCATATTTTTTTATTGCAACCTTTCAGCATATTTTCTGTCTTTGCTGTTTGACCTGAACTTTCAAATCTGCTTTGAGGTTGCAGTGTCATATTGACAATTGAGTGTATTTAATGTATTTATGTCAGTCTGGTTTTATTAAAGTGATTTACTCTTTCAACTAGAGTGCCTGGAAAAATAGGTTCAAAGAAAAACTAAGTGGTAGCTCAGGCTCAGGACCTTTTATTTGTTCTCTTTTTAAGTAGTGCTGTGGAATTATGTGGAACAGTTGAATAGCAGGCTTTTTGCTAGCACCTGACTACACATAATAGTTGTCAGTCCTCTCTCACAACCATGCATGATTCTGAGGTACCTTTCCCCAGGCAATCTGCTTTGCTGCTCTTTTATCTCAGTACCTTATTTCTGCAGTTGTCCTCAAAAGAAGTGTTCTCATACCTTTCTGTGAATTAATCCTTCAAATCTTACATAACTAAGCTGAGGTACCTATTAAAGCAGCAGTCCCACAACTATCAGCAGAACTCTAGCAAGATGATTGAGATGGGGCTTTTGTGTTGGTTAATTGTGGGATAGAAGACTGCATAGCTAAGCTGAGGTACCCATTAAAGCAGCAGTCCTACAACTATCAGCAGAACTCTAGCAAGTAGATAGATGATTTGAGATGGGGCTTTTGTGTTGGTTAATTGTGGGATAGAAGACTGCATATTATCTAGCTAAGATACTCTAGAGGTCTTTGTGCAAGTGGCTGAATTCCATTCTAAATTCTCTATAGCCACATACACTGCTTTTTGC